AAACTTTAGATGAATGCCATTGCTTAGAAGGGATTAGAATTTTTGTTTGCATTAAAATAAAGAGAGCCTCGTGGTGCAGTGGTTAAAATGGAGTACTGCAGTCAAGCCTCAGCTCATGACCCGAGTTCAATCCCTATAGATATAAGTACCGGGCTGAAGGTTGACTCAGCCTTCCATTCAAGCTAGTAAAATGAGTACACAGCTGGGGTGGGGAAGCAGCAAAGTGTCATTAGCAGAATTATGTTATAAGTCACACAGAGAGTGTTTTAGAATATATAGGGTAGTATACATGTTGAAACAACATGTAAGTCTGTTCTCCAATTCTCTTTAACATGCATAGGGACATACAGTAGAGGCTCAATAACTAACAAATGTTAGGTAGAACTAGTTCTAAACATTGGGACTAAGAGTGCTCAAATGAATGCAGACATGCACTTTTGGCATATGTTATTCTCAATGCAAGTAATTTTGATTGGGTAAATAAGAGTGACTTGACTTCTGCTAAATCCTATTTGTTTGACACCAATGGGGGAATTAGAAAATTAGAGAATGACAGAAATAAAAAAATGAAGTCTACCATTTAAACTCAGAATTCGCCAGCTGAAATGTGCAATTAAACAAATACTGAAACAGTTGTTCAAGATATTAATTCAAGACAACATACTATTAGCATAATTCAACTAATATTTTTAAAGAAAACTTCAGATTTTTAAACTATCTGCACCATAGGTGCAGATAACGAGGGTCCGGCCTCCTGGGACCAGACCAATCACTCACCATTCTGTTGCTGCTGCGGGCTCCGCGCTCCCTTCCTATCACTCCAGAGCTCGCCGTGGATTAGCCACTCCTGGCAGAATGACGAGCCTCTCTGCCAGGCTGAAGAGTGGCTAATCCATCACAAGCTCTGGATACAAGAAAAATCCAGATGTATGACATACTTTAGTTACCATGTTCAAGCGGAAGCAAAACTATGTTGAAAAGTAATGAGAAAAACTACTTTTGAGAAAAACAGCCCAGCAGATGATGAATAATCCTGGGTTTGGCTGAAAATGCCCCTTTAATCCCAGTAAATGCGTATGTCATTCTTTTCCATTTCTTTGCATTCATTCTAAAACCCATAGAATGCTCTTGTTTCTTCCTAGGTAAAGGTTCCCCTTGACAATTTGTCCAGTCATGCACGACTCTAGTGGGCAGTTCTCATCCCCAAGATATAGAGCTAGCATTTGTCTGCAGACAATCCTCCATGGTCACGTGGCCAGCGTGACTAGACATGGAACGCCGTTTACCTTCTTAATGCCTAATAAATGGGCATGAAATGGGGTAGCTAGAGAAGTCTAAAGTAATCTAAAGTAATCTAAAGGGCTATCCTGGAAAAAACTAGGTTAGTGAGTGTAAAAAAGGTGCATACCATGATTTTTAACAAGGGCAAATCCCAGAGCAGAGAGTCCAATTCATGTGTAATCCAAATGAAGTGGTTCTAAATCCTGAAAGGGGCAGCAGGTCCAACACTCCTAATAATGCAAATTCCTTGACCTAACTCCATGGTATTTGCACATTAAAGATGTAGAGATCTACTCCTAATAAGCAGTAATCAAGAGAGGGCTTCAGGTCTCTTTTGACACATTGCCCTCTTCATGCATATAGTTATCTACCACTTACAAAATGCCAATACTGTTATTAGCATGTCTGAACATTTTGCAATATTCAAGATTACTTGAATATCAATCACAAGTCCAATAAAGCTTGTAAAATAAGAAACAGTTTTCAAATTCTTGTTTCCTTGAGCTTCCTGGGGGTTGAAAGAAGAAAAGAACAATCTAAACTTCCCCACAATTAACAGGAAAAAACAGACAGTTCTACCACAATTGCTCATTCTCACTTCCTCCTTTGACATACAATTTAAAAAAAAAATAGATTAGAAGGATGTGAATCTGTAGCACTGTACATGGAAGAAGTATGTGTAGTTCAAGAATAACTGGTGACAGGAGAGTCATTTGCTCTGTCATAACCATATTGCTTTTGCTTCCTAGCCTATTCAACAATATACATGAAAACAGAAGTAATGTACAAAAGATAAAAGCTTGAGGAGCTTACAACTCTGTATCCACTGCTTATGATTGCCTTGCACTCTGAGGATCCCACCATCAGGAAAAGCAAGTTACTGTATACATTACACATAACAGGCCAACAGGTCAGACAATCAACAGGAATACATAATACTCAGAAAAATACATATGGATAAAACTGAAATAACTTCTCCAAAAGTTGTTATTCATAGCAGCATGTTAGTTCACATTGAGACTGTCTGCTCTGGCATATTGTTATGGTATATAGTTCCCTGAGAGCATTGTCTGGCATGGGGGGGGGAAGACCTCATCTGCCAGTGTTTCTACTTAAAAGGACCCATCCTTCCCCTTTAAGAGCTGGCCTGTATCTTTCTGGCACAGGGCTAGGGCATGCAATTTTTGGGGACCTTTCATTGAGGTGGAAAATCGTTCTATGTTCTGTCTTCCCAGATAGGTACCGAGAGTTAAAATAGATTGCAGAAGAAGACTGCACTTCTAAGCACAGGCCAGATCACAGTAAGGACAGGCCCACTGTCTTACTAATCCTTCTATCCATGGTTTGCTTAGTGTGATGTCCCAACAAGGCACTCTGGCTAATTTCAGCTCCTGCAATGTACAGAGATACATATGGAAAAAACTATGGATTATTTCCCTGGTTTATTGGGGGAGATCTGAGAACCATGATCAACAAACCATGGATGGACAGTCTGTGATTTGTTTTACCACTCCTACTTGCATGCAAATATGTGGCAGCATGATGCCATAAATGATAGGCCAGAACCCTGGCTAGCTGTGTCATGCAAAGCAGGTGTGTGCTTACATATTGCTGATGGAGAAATGGTCCCTCTTCTGAAGCCAGCATGGAAATAGATTTTACTAGCCACCTCAATATTAAATAAAAAGAAGAAAATCCTGTTATGGAATGGACTATCAACAAAAGGATATTCTCTCCAACCTTTTCCTGAAAGTCTTCTCATCAGTCTAGATGGAATACGCTGTCACTACTGGAAAGGACTGGAGATGGGGCAGGGTTTCATCCCTCCCCCCACATTTAGAACATATGCATACACATACATTGAACTGAAAAAGACCAATGATTGAATATTTGCAAAACTGACAGAGACAAGAAACAGACTAACTTCTACATAGGACTACCAGGCAAGCAGTTAAATCTGTGTCTCCTGTAGCGTTTTTCAGACTTCCTTTTATATAAAAACTGAGGTATATAGCTGAAGTGAAAGACATCATCAAGAGGTGAGAGTCTGTCCCATTTCTACACCCTTCCATTTCTCTGTCTGAAGTGACACCTATGATTATTATGATGCTCCAGGTATTATTCTTCCAACCCTCCTATAATTATTCCATTCTTTTAGAATAATGCATGAAATTGTGTCTACCTATTATATATCCTCCCTCACAAACTAATTCCTATCTGATTTTTCCATGTGCCATATGGCACTGTCATCATACCTTCTGTTTCTCAGTGTCCCTGCCCCATCCTTTTGCGCTGTAGCCAAGATCTGCTAACCCAATCACTCATGCAGTCAGAACCAAACACTCTTCAAACAGGAGAAACCTAGGCATGAAATCCATGTTCAAATGGAAAGCTCCCAGTTACTGATCCTATTGAAAATTCCATAAATTGCTTGAATTTTCAAAGGAACGCAGAGACACATTCCTGTTCATCATGTGACTAGTGATAAAGTGCATAAGATGCAATGAAACATGAGTAGGTAAACAAGAGAATAAATCGACAGGTGCAAACTATGCTTAATATTAACAAGAGTCAGGATGTAAGTTTGTAAGGAAACTATAGAAAGAACATATACATACATTTAACAAAAACTCCAATTAACGTGAAGAGAGAGAATACATGATGCATAATTTAACACACAAGGGCACTTCACACCAAGCTCCTGTCAAAGTAAGTTGTCAACATTCTTAGCAACCTGACACAGTGGTTCACCTGCTACTTAAACAGGATCTTTACTGGACAGGCTTAATGCTTACTGTTGTAGCCTGGACTCAAAACAATTTGTTTATTTATTTATTTATTATTAGATTTTTATCCCGCCCTTCCAGACAGGAATCTACTCAGGGCAACACAATTATTTTCATTCAAAAGGTTTGGGCTGTGAACTGGAGCAATTTTTAGTAGCCCAGGTTACCCAAGCCCGCACATTGTTTACAAAACTGGTTAGCTTTATATCAATGAGGAGCAATGAGAAGAAAATCCACATCAGTTGCATATACAAAGAAAGAGACAGATTATCAGGCTTTTTCATATCATGTTTGGTGGTTTTCAAGCCACAGCAGGCACCTGCCAGCTTTTCAACAGACCTTTGTCAAAGCTAGTTCTGGTCTGTCTAACAAAGTATAGAGGGCTCTTTCCTAACCAGAAAACAGGAAGGCATCGACCGACACAGCTAAGAACAGAGAAAGAAAGCGAGAAAGACTTAAACTAACGCCAATAAGCAAACGTCCCGGTGCATAAGGAGGGTAACACTTGTGTGTGAAGATGGCAAAGCCACGGTGCGTTCACAGGGGCTGTTTCAAGGTTAGCAGCTGGCAACATCCCCTTAGGGGGCTGAGCCCAGGGGAAAGGAGGCGGTCGCCAGAGCTCCCCCCCCCCCGTTGCCTGGGCAAACCGATCATCCTTTCCAAAAGAAAGGAACTCCGCACCACCTGGTCTACGAAGTATAGCAGCGCTATGGCATCGTGGACTAAGAAACGTCAACCACTGCTGCTACTAAGAGGAGGGAATCGGGGAGGGGTGGTCCCTTTGGAATAAAAGACGTCGTTCCCCCCCCACGAGCCCAGTGGGTGGTCATGGGGCGGCGCGCGGGAGAAGGGGAGGGGGGGTAGGGAGAGACCGAGCACGTCCGGCTCCCGCTTCCTTTGTTTTCCATTGGCTGGACCCCCAGTCTCACTCACCCACAGTGGCCAAGGTCTCCAGATCCTCGAGTCTATAAACGGTGGAATCCGGCGCCGACGGGGCAGGAGAGTCTCGGCCGGCAGGGCTGGAAGAGGGGACGGGTTGCGACTCGCCCGTTCCTACCGCCTCACAGCCTCCGGGGCTTCGGCTGCCGACTTTCGCCCTGACGGCGCTCAGCGTCTCCATGGGGAGAAGAAAAGGAGAGGGAGGCTTCTCCCTGACAGGCCAAAGGGCAAAGTTTGGTGCCGCCAGAGTCGGGCCGGCCGCTTTCCTTCTTCCCGCTTCAGTCGCTGTAGCTGCTCCGAGCCCGGCCCGGTTCGTGGCTCAGCTTCTTAGCAGCTGCAAAGCGGTGGCCGGCGCCCTGCATTGCGCCCGGGCGCAGCTTCCTCGTCCGGCTGTGCTGCTTCGCTTCCGCGCCGAATTCTGAGGACAGAATAGGATGGCTCGCTTCCCGCCGGCGCCTCGGTGCAGACAATGGGCTTGCCGGGAGAGCGCCGACGCTCTCACTCACTCCCTCGCTCGCTAGCCCGCCTGCCCGCCCGCCAGCCGGTCGCACGCGGGGCGGAGAGGGCGGGCCTTGGCTCCCTGCAGCTGCGGCAGAGCTGGGGAGAGGGCGGGGAAGGAGGGAGCCCGGAAAGAGGGAGGAGCGGCAGCCTACCGGTTGGGTGGCACCGTGTATTGTGTGTGTGTGTCTCTCTGCTTCGGGCGGGGGAATGCCCTTTTAAAATTAAAATACTCTAGAAATAAAGCAAAAGGGCTCCTAGTTGCAAAAAAGGGAACGCGGGTGCCATGGAAGTTACGGTTGGCGTTGCCTCAGGGAAGCCTGGAGGGTGCGGGTCGCCCTGGCTGGGTCTCTCAAACCGGTCCTGGCGAGGCTTCGGGTGACTTCAGGCGCCGAGGCGACGTAGCCCTTGCTTGCACTGCGAAGCCCCTTCCCTCAACGCCGGGGGTTTACTCCGGGACCTCCCCGCTCCCCGCTTAGGGCTCTCATGTCTGTGCTGGCTTTGTTCCGCCCAGCGCTCACCCGCACGGCGCCCGCTCCCCATCCCCGTGCTGCCCACTGAGGATTTCTCCCTCCGCGGCGAAAGTCAGTCGGAGCCCGATGGCCGCAACCGTCTCTGACGAGGCGGGAAGGCCATCGTGAAGGGAAGATGGGCTGACTCGGGAGAAGGGGGCACAACAAAGGGGAGCCTGCAGGTCCCTGGGGTTCACAACGATAAGAGGTCTAGTTTGGAGGACGCCGGAGGATGGGATGAGAAGAGTTTGGGGACAAAAGGTTGTAGACTGGAAAGAGCCAAGGAACAAGGAGAAGAAGGCCAATGAAAGTTGGCGGGACTAACTTCCTGATACTGCAGCTCTGAACATCCCATGTTGGCGCCCTGGCAAATAGGTTTCACCCAGAACCACTATCCCTGAGTTTTCTTTAGAGGCCACATCCTTTCCTTAACTAGAATCTTTATGATGTAAGAAATGCTGTGGCAATGCAAGAACAGGCGATAGTTTATAGGCCACTAATGTATTTATTTTTAATAGAGGCCTATAAAGGTATTGCCTGTTTTTGGATTTGTGTTTTGTAATGGCCACACGGCTCTCCCCTTTTATTTCACGGTGACAATGAAATCTGGGTGTGGGCTTCCATGTATGTGATTGTGCAGCACATAGATAATTTTGTCAGTATGTCTTGCATAGGTGGTTTGTGACTGAGAAGGGGATGCTCTCTTTGGGGAGGGGAGGCTTCCTGTCCCACAGGCCTATCGAAAAATAATGTACTATTTCCTATTCATTCATTGAGTTTCTGTACTGCTCATCTCGCCAATTGTCACTCTGGGTGGTTCACAACCATGGTAATAAAATTATATTACATTTGGCAGTGCTTCATAAAAAGTTTTCATTAAGTGACTGGGAAAGTGTTCTTAATTCAGACACGAATAATGAACCAGGATGAAAATCTTTGTTATTCTGTAATTTTTCCCTTGACAAAGCTCCACCTAGGAATGGAAGATGAAAAACCTCCAAAGTCCGTTGATTAGCTATCAGTGAGGAGTGAGAGAGATAACATTTAGACTGAGCAAAGTGCCCCTGAACTCTTTTCCTTAGATTTGCAGAACAATAGTAAGTGGTGTGTGTCTTTTAGATAGCAACCAGGGCAAAATGTGTATGTGCGGTTTTCTACTTTCCCTTTTCACATTTTTTCTTATTTCCAGCCTCCATTGACTTCAGTCAGTGAAAAAATATACCAACTCCAGAACTAGTATAGTTCCCATACACGCTTATGAAGCGCGTTTCATATGAACTGGAATTTTTGCCCTTGGTTTATATCAGAAGCTTCATTGTGCAATTTTCTTCCATGGATGTAAGAGCTAAAAAGGACTAAGTCTAAAAACTGTGCACAAGCTTGATGAAGCAAATTTCTAAATCTAACTGGAAGCAGTGATCAAGATTCTACTGGGATTTTACTCTGGCACAAGTGGTAGTAACTTGCAGCTAATGAACAAAGTGCCAGTTCAATCAATCAATCAATTTTTATTGAATGGGCCCAGACCCAACAACAAAGTGCCAGTTGTGTGCCAGTCATACAGCCAGGGACATGACCAATGCCTTGTTAATTAACTGCAATATTTGGCTGCAATTTATGTAACTTCACTTGTTCTGAAATTACAGTATGATTCTGGCCACTCTGTCTAAGTATGCCTAACTTAGTGGAAGCCTGTAGTCAAGAAGAAAGATTGTGATAAAACTAGTATGTTAGAGAAAAGGAGAGATCTTTAGATTTGGTTCACTCTACAGTGTGCTTCTTTAAAAAAGCAATTAAATAGATCATACATATATGGATTTTTCATTCTTTTCTTTCTTTATTCATATCAGAGCATTGCACAATATAAAATGCTGGATGTACGTGATGTATAGGAAAAAATTAAAAACAAAATGTTAAGATAACTAGACTAATTTTGACCAGAGGCAAGATACTTCAATAGTGTTCTCTCAGACATTTGCTAAAATCTTCTTTCATATACATGGTGGGGCATAAATTGCATGCACATAAGCGCTCCATCAATTGACTTTCTCCACAATCACAGAAATTGTGTCCTTTGTCCAAGTAGCCCCCAAGTAGCCATTTTACTTGCTTATTCTTTGATCGTCCTACTTCACATTGAAGTCTATTACCGGTAAGTGACATCCAGATAGTCCAGCTAGAGTCATGCCCTGGTGGCGAAACTCTTCAGTGTTTATCCATTAACTGGATGTGTTGTGTTTTTTTCTCCAAAGATTTTGTCTAGCCTCGTCTGGTTTAATATTTAGTGCTTGAGATGTGTGCAAAAAATAAATTAGCTGTCACCTGTGGGGATGATGTCCATGAAGTGGATGGGTTTGGTGCTGGTTGTTTCATTTACATTTAGTAATGGAAGTTTTATGAAGAGCAGCAATCTTGATCATACAAATATCCATAAATATTTGAAGGTGGAGCTCACTCTACTAATTGATTGAGAAACCTCATGAGCAAAGGCTGCTAGTCCTGTAGTGAAAATAATAAGATGACCCATGATGTCGGCGAAGGTGTTTATCAGGAAACTGTGTCTGAATCACTGCACACAAGAGGTCTGTCACATTTCATTCTTCAGAGAGGTTTTATTCAAGCCACAGTATTTTTATTTGTTTCATTTAAACAGTACCACGTTTTCTCTAGTTTTTGAAACTGAAAATAGAAAGCACACACACTCTGTCCCAAACTGAGTAAAACTAGATGTCTTTATTTTGGCTGATCCATGCTTTCTGATGCAAAGATCCCTGGGGATTGTATAAAACCTCCAGCGTACTTTTTTAAATCAGCCTGACATTTGGTTTTTATGTTGAATATTTCTAAAATTTTTATACGTAATGGCTTTCCGGCATGACTCATGTTTTGACAAGTCTCCTCATATGACACAGGCATTTGCACTCTCCTGAGCTGCTCACAGAAGCTGAAGCACTTGTGATGAATCAGCAGAAGAACCTTCAGTCACTACGGAGTGCTTCAGCAGCATCCTGTGACAACCTAATTTTTCATCAGGCAAATGCAAACTAATAATTTGCCTCTCCCCAAACAGCTTGTCTTGTGCTCTTATGCGACACAGCCCATGGAAGCTTGGGCAGCAAGTATGGCAAGCTAGATGCCTAGAAGGAGCTGTTAATTTAACTCTAATTAACTATGAAACTAGGACTGCCCTCCTTACAGGCTTGGGAATTTGTTCCACTGAATGAAGTAGGATTGATGTTCACATAAACATGTAGAACTGGGGTGTTGGTCTCTGATTCCATACATATTTCCTTACTAATAAGCCCACCCAAGCTTGGTGATATTTACTTAATTAATAAATGTGCTTATGATCAAACTGTGTGATAAAATGCAACATAATCTGCAAACAGTGAAACCTCATCCCCATTGCTGCCACGTTTGATCTGATGCCAGTCCACCTGTGAGACAACAGTTTGGCTCCTTACTAGTAAGACTACTGATGAAGTCAAACGCTTGTACCTAAAGTGGGTTTACTTGTCAATATTAAAAATACCTTTTAGCTACCACTGGATGTGGCTGGTATCAAGAACAAAGAGAACATATTATAATGTGCAGAGTACTATAGATGCTTTTGAGGGTACACTTTCAGGTCTACTTCACATATTTTGTAACAGTAAATCCAGGTTTTCTACAGGAACTGTATTTGACTTACCAATATGACAATCTTTTCTGGCTGATTAAATGCCCAGACTTCTTGATAAGAACAGGAGTTGCAGTGAATTCCAGGTCCCCAGCCAGTGGGAATGTAAATGTTTGCATAATGGTTTTACCTTGTTCACATTTCACATTTTTAGGTGTAGACTTGTTACAATCCACTGTTCAACACCAAGTGTGCACACATTCTCCGAGTGACACTAGAGATGACATTTTTGTGTTAACATGAATGGGAATAAATATGGCAGACACTATACTTTCATTTTTGTGTTCTTTTGTTGATTTCCAAAAGAAGACATCTTAAATACAAGTGCATTGTGTTAAAAGAGAGAGAGAAGGAAGTCAAGGTATGTTGAACTCTACCATTGTGCTCAATTTTACAACATTGGGTTGGCTCTCAGATAATTCTCAAGCTGAACTTGGCCCCTTCTTCTGATCCTTTCCCCTACCCTCCCATCCACTTCCACCTCATATGCATACCATGAAACTCAGCTAAATTTGTCACAGAATTTTGATTCCTTCCACTTTTAGTATGTAGAATGCTCAGTACTGTCTTGTTTGCTTTATTTCTGACATGTCTTGAGAGGTTTAGTAGTTGTACAACTGAGTTTTGGACACTAGCAAAGAGGTCATAAAACCAACTTTTCCATGTTGTAAAACTGAGTTTGGGGTGCTAGTTGGAGATCATTAGTTAACATTGCGATGGCCGTTAAAGCCAGTGAGGGTTCTATTGGGTTTTTCTGTCAAAATAAAAGCAGCATTGTTAAGCATCCTTTTTTCCTAATTCATCTTTAATGTCATACTTACATATTTTGGTCTGGCAAGTATCTCAGCTAGAGGAAAAT